AACGCCGCCGCCGACGTCCTCGCCGGATCCCGGCGCCACCGCCCTTCTACCGCCGCGATGGTCGAATCCCACCTCGCGATCCCGCGAGTCGTCGCTTCCGCCGCAGACCCCCGTCCTTTCGAGAGGGGGGCTGGCCATCCCCGCTTCGATGCAGCTCAAGGGGCATCAAATCGTCCTCGTGCTGCTCGGTACGCCGTCGGCGATGGAGAGTAATAGCGTGCTCGTGGCGGCCCTCAAGTACGGCGTTCCGGCCGTGCTTCTGCCCGATACGATGGCGAACGAGCCCCGCCTGATGGCGGTACCTCAGACGGAGCTCCAGGTCGAGTTCGCGCGCGATCCGCTATCCCTCGCGCTGAGCCGTGCCGACGAGCTCTCCATGGAGGTGATCGCGGTCTACCAAACAAACGACTTTGCGCCCGATGCCACTTCGTTGTTTCTGTTTTCGCATCCCGCGCGCGCGCTCTACCTCTTTGCCCCACCCTCCCAAGAAGAGGCTCTAGCGCCCGCCATCGCGCGCACCGCGGCGGCGCCTATTTTCGTGGGCGCCGTCCGACGCCTCGAGCGCGGGATCCCCGCGAACGAATGTCTGTACGATCGACTGACGAAAACCCAAGGATGAGGGGTTCCTTCATAGCATGGGCGGGTATTCCGTCTTTTTGTCCTTTATGTTATTATTACAACAATTATTAGAACGATCTTGCACTATGTATGCGAGGCTGTTCTTTTCTCTATAGCAAAATTCCCATTGGTTCTCGTTCGACACGGCCTCTTTTAACCTCAAGGGACCGAAATTTCAGGAGCGATTTTGGGAGAGCCGAGCCACTTTTTCGACGTTCTTCTTTCTTATTAGCTGGCTCAGCTTCGAAAGTTTTATTCATGCATATTATATATAGATATATCTCAGGGAAGGCTTATTGAGGCAAACATTCATAGATATAATATTACACCTACTTTTTTCGTGTGTGTGTCCAAGTCTTCCAGAGATGTTTGGGTCGTGGCTTGACACTTTTTCCTCGTGTAAGACACACGCTATTTTTAACACCAGAGGGAGGAGTTCAATTCTTCGTGAGACACGGTGCATGGGATGTGGGTTTGTTGATGAATTATTAATTATAGATTCTTTCCTTCTTTTTATTTGGTTTATAGTCTCAAGACGGATTTACATTGAAGCGCGCCAATATATCGTTTTATATTTCTATATGCATAGCTATCCTTACATGTGGTGGTGTTTTTCCCCTTAACTATTTTCTATTTAAATCATGCGTTTTAATCACCTGTACCGCGCATCCCATGTACGACGGCAGAAGTATGCAGTGCGTCTGTTTGTCGTAGCTGTGGTATTCCTTCTTTTTGTATGCTTCGTGATGCAGTTACATACATTACCGGGTGAGAAATCAATTTCGGAGTCGCTCTCTACTCCTAACGGAGAGTCGGTAGGGGTACATCTCAATTCTTCCCATCGTTTTGGACGAAACGATACGGTGCAGACGCCGCAGGAGCAGCAACTCATCGATGTGATAACCAAACACATTGATTCATATGATGTCCTCCCCTTGCGTGAGGGCGAGTCCTTCATTTCGTTCAAGGAATTTGTTGCGTGCCTTGGTGCGCGGCTCCATTTGGACGTGGCGAACCGCCGAGAGCTGCCCTTCCCTCCAGAGGACCAAAGTCGCAGCATTCCCTTTATGATCACCACCCTCTCCCTTGGGTTTCACGATGCGAAGCAGTCCGTTTGCCAGCACTCCGTTTCGATCCGTCACCTGCTTTACGTCAACCACGGCGATATACCGGAGGTTCGACTGGGGATGGAGGGCCTTCAGCTCGTCTTTCAGGGCTGGACGCGGCGTCTCCTCATCCGTCACCACCCTGAGACCCTCGGCCTCGCGGCCGCGCTCAACGTCGGCCTCCGGGAGGCCCTGGCCCTCCCCCCCCGCGAGGTGCCTTTCGTCCACGTCTGGGAGAGCGGCGCGCGTCTGTCCAGCGCCGCCCTCCGGACTTCCTTGGAGCGGATGCACGGCCTCACCAGGGGCGACGAAGGCTGCATTCACCGCCTGCAAGCAGAGGTGGATGCGGGGGAAGGACGACGAGCGGGAGACGGCGTGCGTTTGCGAGCCTCGCCCTCTCCCGCTTCATTTCTCGTGCACACCCCACCTGAGGGGATCGTCCTCGAGAGGGGCTGGGCGAAACTTTCGACGTCGGCGTTATGCCCTGGAGGCGTCTTGGACGATCACTACGCTGCCGCCAAGGCGCTCTTTCGCGACCACCACGCGCTCGTCATCAGTGATAGCACCACCCCAACGGCTTCTTTTTTTATCTCACGCTTAGCCATGTTGGTGGTGGGGTATTTTGATGAGAACACCTTTCCCGGCGGGTTTGAACTACAGGACTATTGCTGGCGTGCGAAAATATTAGGCTTTGGGGTGACCACCCTTGATGAGCTAAAAATAGTGAAACGGTTCTACGATGACGTCGAATCTTTTATTATCGATGGTGATGCTGCGATGGGCGTTTTTGGTAAAGGTGATGGGCGTAGCTCGTCTCTCAACCCAAAGCCTGAGCTTTCGCCACAAGCACGCGCCTTCTTGATGATGATGCGAAAAACCTTCACTCGGGGTGTCTTTAGCGCGTATATGATGTGGAAGTGGCAGGTGCAACAGCCGGTGGATTTACAAAACGCGGATCCGCCAGGGCTGCCATACGATGGAGAGCGTTTTCCAGACGGGCTCGCTCACGTGCGGGTGGACTCCTGGCTGTTGGACTGGAGGCGGGTGGTACACATCAAGCGGTACCTTTCCGGGCAAACACAGAACGCGTCCGGCATCAATTACAATTCGAGCCTCTTGAGCTATTTTATTTAGCTCAAAAAGAGCAATGTTTGTTGGGGTTGTAGGTCTAGCCTGAGGATCGACGAGACATATATATATATATATATTGATATATATACACATGTTTAATGATTCACACCTCAGTCGTTTCGAAATACTTTGGTCCACTACCTGATTCTACCACTTATATTTGTCCATGATAGTATCTTCTGCCGAGCTGATTTCTGATATTGTTTGATCTATGTAAAGTGGCGGACCTTCCATTCGTCTGAAAGAGTAAGAGGAATTTATTCTTCATATAGCCTGAGTTTTTATCGACCCCCTTTCTTCCACGATTAGGACGAGGGTTCTGCGAGGGGCTCATTCATGTTTCTATTTCCTGAGATTAATGGCCGTCAGATATGTATATATACAGAGTACATGGCAAAACGAATGTCAGAAATGTGAATTTGTATAAATAATAATTGCAAAATGCTCCCTTATATATGGATTTAAAATCTTTCCTATTCTTAGTTGTAGTGCAACCAAATTTAGTAGGATGATTTTTATATACTCATGAAAGTTTTTTGATTGTAAATATTCAATCATCATTATGATGATTACTCTATTTAGCTATTCGAAGCTAATGGAAAGACATGTAAAGAAAAATTTAAGATACCCTTAAATGTATAACAGTTTATTCATTCTTTTTTTTCGTCTTTTTCTCGAACTTATAAGATGGTGCGTAAATGTTATATGCGAAGATCGATGGATATTTATATTTGCTAAATATTGGTATAATATCAACTTCATTTATTCATAATTGAGCGCTATCACGGTATTCTCGTGTCTTTTGAAGGGTGATATGGTTTCAAATGGTGTACTGCGTGCGGATGCCGCTTGGCTGCATCTGTGACGACTTTGGATCCGCGTGACGGACACGCGAGTCACTCCGTTGCCACACTGTCA